AGATTCCCCACCCACCCACCCCCAGGACTGTTTACAGAATATTTTTTTTAAAAAAAGAAGTTTTCAAGCACAAGGAAAAAGCTGTAGTTTAGCAAAGAATAACTATTTCTTTGTTCACAGAAGGTGCCAGATTTAATCTTTCGCTTCTTCGAGTAAGGATGGGAAAGAATTCCAGTTTGAAAATCGCTGCCTTGCAGTTTTCCGGGTTCCTATTATTCACTGGGCCTGGTGGCTCAGCAGACTGATAGCACTGTGATTAACACCAGCTGTCTGCAATTACCGTAAGTTTGAATCTCCCCAGGCTCAAGGTTGACTCAGCCTTCCATCCTTTCTAAGGTAGGTAAATTGAGGACCCAGTTTGTGGGGGCAATAAGCTGACTTTGTATAAATATACAAAAGGATGAAGGCTATTGCTTAGCGCATTGTAAGCCGCCCTGAGTCTCCGGAGAAGGGCGGCATATAAATCAATTAAAAAAAAATTTAAAAAAATCACGTGACAGTCAAAATTGGGAGGAAACTGCCAATAATACCTAACACAATCTTAAGTGTGTTACTGTCCTGGGTCTTTGTCGTGCAACATTAAAGCAGAGTACAAAGGAGAAGAAACGGGAATGTCAAGGTGCAACTTACAACTGCATTTATACGACAGGTTTGGGCAGAGGTCTTCAAACTTGGCAGCTTTAAGACTTGTGGACTTCAGCTCCCAGAATTCTCCAGCGAGCATAGCTGGCTGGAGAATTCTAGGACTTGAAGTCCACAAGTCTTAAAGGTGCCAAGTTTGAAGACCTCTGGTTTAGGGGAAACCTGGCTCAAAGGCAGTAACTGTGAGAGGGACCTTGGAGTCCTACTGTGTTTCCCCGAAAATAAGACATCCCCTGATAATAAGCCCAATCGGGCTTTTGAGTGCATGCGCTAAAATAAGCCTCCCCCCAAAAAATAAGCCCTCCCCAATTTAAACGCAGAGCTGGAAATCAGGTAAGATGGCAAGAGGAGCCCCATCTTGCTCCACATGCCCCCAAATAATGAGACTTTTCCAAAAAATAAGGCCAAGTGCTTATTTCGGGGTTCAAAAAAAATATAAGACAGGGTCTTATTTTCGGGGAAACACGGGTAGCGGACGATCGCTTAAACGTGAGCCAGCCGTGTGCGGCAGCAGCCCAAAAGGCTAACACAATCCTCGGTTGTATAAACAGAGGCATAGAATCAAAATCATGTGAAGTGTTAGTACCGCTTTATAAAGCCTTCGTAAGGCCGCGCCTGGAATGCTGCATCCAGTTTTGGTCCCCACATTACACAAAAGAGGTGCAGACTTTGGAAAAAGTGCAGAGAAGAGCAAACTAAGATGATCAAAGCAGTGATGGGATACAGCCAGTTCGGGCAAACCGGTAGCTAAATTGCTGGCTGTCTCCACCCCTCCCCTCCCCGCCCCTTCCAGGAGTCCCCACACGCCCCATTTTGGCTTCCAGGTAACTGCAGGGAGGCCTCTTAGGCCCAAAATCCAGCCCGTTTTCACTCCCAGGAGGCTTCAAAGAGGCCTTCTAGGCCCAAAATGGGGTGGCACCCCCCCGTGACCCATTTTTGCTCCCGGGGGGGGGGGTGCAGGTGGCCGTGTGCTGCCTGTCACACACCCCTGGCCACGCCCACCATGGCCACGCCCACCCAGCCGGTCATTAGGGCAGAGAACTGGTTGTTAAATTATTTGAATCCCGCCACTGGATGAAACAAAAACATATGAAGAACGGCTGCAGGATTTGGGTTTGCCTACACCAGAGAAAAGAAGGACTGGGAGGGGAGACGGGACATGATAGCAGTCTTCCAGGATTTGAGGGGCTGGCTGTCAAAAAGAGAGAACTTCCAGTGTTGGAGCACCCACAACTTCTGGAGGCAAGGCGTTCCACTGATAACCTGTTCTGTTAGGAAATTTGCCTTTAGTTCTAGGTTAATTTCTCCTTAGTTCTAGGTTCGAAGCTGGCTTCCTTCAAGGAGGACAAGTCTCATGAACTTGGCAGTTCATACAGGCATGTCAGGGCAGGACGGAGCTCACCAGCTTCAAAGGAACATCTTTAAGAGATTTCCAAGCCGAGTTACATCACCGAGGAGTCTTTCCAGACTTAGCATTTCGCAAGCTAAGCTCCTTATTTGCTGATGTTTTGCAAACTTCGCCGCCGGCTGTTTACCTCCTCGCGGCTTGACGTGACTTAGCAAAACGCCGCTGAAGTTTCCACACAGCCTACATCGTCCATGCTTCTTCACGTTTCACCGTGCTCTCAAAACTTTTCTATTTCAGCAGGCTGGCCTGGCCTAACTCTCCTCTTTTAAATCTTTTAATTCATGATTTTATAAATTGGGTGTTTTAATCTGTGTTTCGGCCAAAATATTTAATAATTTTAAGGGATTTTTAATATTTGTATTATCTGTATTTTATCTTGGCTGTTCACCGCCCTGAGTCCTTCGGGAGTAGGGCGGTATAGAAATTTGATTAATAATAAATAAATAAATAATAAATAATAATAAGAGGCGACTGGACTTTCTGGTTTTTTTCTTTGAAGATGTTTTGCTTCTCGCCCAAGAAGCTTCTTCAGCTCTGACTGGATGGTGGGGAATGGGAGGGTTTATATTCCTTGCAGACAGATGGACATTTGCATTCCTTTTGAGGGTTGTTGAGGCCACATGGAGGTTTAACTGTAGTAGTAGTAGTAGTAGTAGTAGTAGTGGAAACGGGATTACCCACACCCATTTGCACTACTCACGTGACCTTTGGAGGTTTATCTGTGTCCTCAGGGTCCAATGGGTGTGGATAAACCCATTTCCATTACTACTACTACTACTACTACTACTACTACTACTACTACTACTACAGATAAACCTCCAAGTGGCCTCTACGACTCTCTATAAAGATGCAAATGACCAAGCTGTCTGCAAGAAGTATAAATCCTCCCATTCCCAACCATACAGTCAGAGCTGAAGAAGCTTCTTGGAGGAGAAGGGAAATGTCTTCAAAGAAAAACCAGAAAGTCCAGTTGTCTCTTTAAAAAAAGTCACCTTTCAGACAACGTGACCTGGGTGACGGAGAATCTCCATAGAACTACATCATTGACTTTCCAATTCACCTTCAATTAGGAGACCAATTTAAGATAGGATCTTCAGCTGCATTATCGCTGTGGCTTCCAGCTCAGGTCAAGTCCTTTTTTGAATGTTAGCATTAAACTCCAATTTGCCCTGCATGAAGGGAACTGGGGAAGCTTAACAACAGAAATCTTGGGCTCAACTGCGGTCGTTAAGCTGAGGACCACCTGTAATTCCTGCAGCCTACTTTCTTTGACCAAGTTTTAAATAAGAAATTTTGCGGAGGTTTTCTCACTCTTGTCTTAAAAGAGCTGGAAACAGAGTTAAGATCCTTATCATAAGCGACACTGTGTGAGGTCGGTTAGGCAAGAGATGAGCTGGCTGAGGCCCATTTAGCAAAATGCTTTTATCTCCTATCCAGGCAGATAAAACTAAAATACCAGCCACTTCATCGGCAATTTAGACAACTGAGTAAGGTTTGGAATAAGACACGAGGCAGCTTTGAAGAATCAATTCCGTCTCCTTATAAAAAAAAAAAAAAGGTTCGTTCCGCCGATCATCGGGGCCCGCCCGCTCGCCATTGCGCTATACCTACTTTTATTTCCTTTGTTTGAAGCCCAGCTGATCAGCACGGCAGCGCGGATTGCCGTGCCTCAGCTGTTTTATTCACCGGAGCTCCAGTAGAAGGTGCTGTTTTCAAATGTACTGCGCGCGGGTGGATCGCCCGTTTGGCGCTCGTTTGGCGCATGAAGCAAAACGGTTGCTACACCAGTTGAATTCCACCACTGCCTTTATGGGTATCATGGGGAAAAGTTGACAGAGCATCAAGAACCCCCACTAGTATATTATATGAAAACAAACCCCACTCACTTCTAGTACTGATGATGTTCCCTAGTTGGGTCATGAAATGTCTGTAAGAAAACCATCAAGCTCAGAGAGCTCCAAGGACCCCTCGCTTCAACCCCGATCTACAAATATTCTCCTTGATGGGGTATCATTGGGAAAAGTGGATCGAGCACCGAGAACCCCCATCGTAGAGGTGGGATTCAGCCGGTTCTGTCCAGTTCGGGAAAACCTGTAGTGGCGACTATGGGAGGCTCCGCCCAGCCACCCGGATGTAAAAGCAGGGGTGAAATGCTCCCGGTTCGGACCGGATCGCCCGATCCGGTAGCGATGGAGGTGGATGGTTCGGAGAACCGGTAGCAAAAATCCCTGCCCTCCCCCCCATGCCCAGCTGAGCCGCACAATCATCAGAGGCTTTTTTTTTTTTTACCTTTAAAAGCATTTTTTCTACAACCTCTTCGGCAGAAAAAATGCTTTTAAAAGTAAAAAAAAAAAGCGTCTGATGATCGCTAGGCTCAGCTGGGATCGCCAAAAGCTTTTAAAAGCATTTTTTCTACAACCGCTTCATAGGTGGTAGAAAAAAATGCTTTTAAAAGCTTTTGACGATCCCAGCTGAGTTGCCTGATCGTCAGAGGCATTTAAAAGGAAAAAAAAGCCTCTGCCGATCAGGCAACTCAGCTGGGATCGTCAGAGCCTTTTGAAAGCCTCTTCGCCGAAGAGGTTGTAGAAAAAAAATGGTTTTAAAAGTAAAAAAAAAAAAAAAAATTGGCCACGCCCACCGTCACATTACCTTCCCCCCACCAAGCCACGCCCACAGAACCGGTAGTAACAAATTTTACATTTCACCACTGGATTAAACCGCGGAAGGCCGTGCGCATGCGCAGAGGAGCGCTCACATTTGTGAATCGGTAGGGAAGTTATTTGAATCCCACCTCTGCCCCACTAGTGTACAAAAAGAGAGCAAACCCCGCTCCCTTCTAGCCCTGATGATGTTCCCTAGTTGGGTAAGGAAACGTCTGCAAGGAAACCGCCAAGCTCAGGGAGCACCAAGGGCCCATCTCCTAAGGAGGCCCGGCATCCATTGGACTTACCAATTTGTAACAATACCGGTGTCACCAAAGCTGTCTCCATGGCGTAACAAAATTCCCGGCCAAACATGACGGCGCCGTGCATCACCCATAGCCGTACCGGGATACGGTCTATGGATCCTTCGCTAATCGTCTCTTCTTTACTTTCGCGCTCCTTTTCGGGTTTCTGGAGCTGAACGCCTGGAAGCTCTTGGACTTGCATAGATTCTGAGTCAGCATTCTGGGGAGCCATTTTCATCACCATAAAAAATACATATATTTATATATCTATCTATCTATATCTACCTATATAGATTTTTAATTTTATTCCTTTCTCTCTCTCTCTCTCTCTCTCTCTCTCTTTAAAATCTCTATATAAATAACTCTATCATCTCTTGCGATAAATTAGGCTGCCTTCCGCTGTTCCTCATGGCGTCCCGTTCCTTGCGGTGCAAGCAAAATATTTGTAATTTCCCTCGGGAGCAAACGGGTGGTTTTTTTGGCATCGAATCTTCACAAAGGCTTTTCCAACATTCGGCGAGGAACATCCAACTTATTTGGTAGAAAGAAAAGGATTTTTTTTCAACATATGGCTTGGTGGGCTTCCGTTTTTTGTTGTTGTTGTTTTTTTGCTTACTGGGATCTAGAGTTAAAAATCCATAATTGCCATTCAGTTAATACCAGTTTCATAATGAGAACCAAAGAGGTGCTGAACTCGTTCTGCTGGCTACACAAAGGTGAAGAGGAGATGCGAATCCCCATCGAGTGGCTGATAAATCTGGAAGCAAAATTTAAAAAAAAAAAAAAGGGAAAAAGAGAGAGAGAAAAAATCAAATCACGGATTAACAGGCATGTAAAATAGCCACCCCGCCTTTCATTCACTAAAAACCAGGCCTCCCTTCACTCCTGTGGACTCTCCTGGCCAAAACCAGGCAACTGTTTGAAGCAGCTCTCTAGACGTATCTGATTTATTTTTTTTCCAGGCAATTAAAAAAAACACTTTGGATTTATTGTTTCTAAAAAATGCATGCCCTTCTTTCAAAATGGTTTGGAGAAATTAGAAAGGAAGGAAGGAAGGAAGGAAGGAAGGAAGAAGGGAAGGAAGGAAGAAAGAAGAGAAGAAGAAAGAAAAGGAAGGAAGGAAGGAAGAAAAGAAAGAAAGAAAGAAGGAAGGAAAAAAGAAAAAGGAAGGAAGGGATTTAGGTAGAAAAGAAGAAGGATGAGGGGAGGAGAGGAGAGGGATGGAAGAAGGGAAGAAAGAAAGAAGAAAGGAGGAAGATAGAAAAGAAGAAGGAAGAAAGGAGAGGGATAGAAGAAGGGAAGAAGGAAGGAAGGAGTAAGTTAGAAAAGAAAGAAGAGAGGAGGAGAGGGATGGAAGAAGGGAAGGAAGGAAGGAAGGAAGAAAGGAAGGAAGGAAGGAGGAAGGAGGGAGGGAAGGAGTAAGTTAGAAAAGAAGAAGGAAGAGAGAAGAGGAGGGATGGAAGAAGGGAAGAAAGAAAGAGGGAAGGAAGGAAGGAGGAAGGAAGGAAGGAGTAAGGTAGAAAAGAAGAGAGGAGAAGAGGAAAGGGATGGAAGAAGGGAAGGAAGAAAGGAAAAAAGAAGGAAGGAAAAGGAAGGAAGGAAGGAAGAACCAGCGTTTGAGAACATGCTCTTTTTTTAATAAAAAGACCCCAAAGTTTGTGAGAGGAAGACCAGCGATCGGAGTTATTTCTCCACAGAAAGGATATATATCGGATGTACAAAAGAGGAGGGATGATTTTTTGCTCCTTGAAAAGTTTCCAACATTCGTTTTTCAGGAACGGGATAAGAGATCTCTTGTCCCAAACATTTTGCAGGTAGTCCTTGACTTACAAACACAACGGAGCCCCAAATTTATGTTGCCAAGCGAGGCAGTTGTTCAACGAGTTTGGCCTCATTTGATGACTTTTCCTACCACAGTTGTTAAATGAATCACTGCCGTTTATTAGTAACCCGGTTGGTTGTTAAGTGAATCCGGGACACTGCAGCCGTCATAAATAGGAACCAGTTGCCAAGCGTCTGGATGTGGATCACGTGACCGTGGGGGAAGCTGAAACGGTCGTACATGTGAAAAATGGTCACACAAGGCCCTTTTTTTACGGCGCCGTTGTAGCTTCGAACGGTCACTGTGTGACACGTGGTAAGTCGAGGACTACCTGTACTCTTCCTTGAAGTGCCACAGCACGCACGGTGCGTCAGAGGGAGGAGGCAGCTGGTTCCCCTGCTCTCCTGAGGGACCTGGGCGTGTCCACAGGTGGTAAGATTGATAGAGGAGATAGATGAGGTCACCTTTATCGTCATTTTTTACACTGACAAGAAAGCACGTTGGCCCACATTAAAAATGAAATTTGGTTGCCTGCTTTCAAAAGGAAGTATTTATCTACCCATACATATAAATAACACATACGTATATACACATCTTCCCTCCCTCCCCTGTCTGTCCGTCCGTCCATCCATCCATCCATCCATCCATCCACCCACCCACCCACGGAATGGAATGGAATGGAATGGAATGGAATTAGAAATAGAATAGAAATAGAAATAGAATAGAAATAGAAATATAGAATAGAATAGAATGGAATGGAATGGAATGGAATGGAATGGAATGGAATAGAATAGAAATAGAAATAGAAATAGAAATAGAAATAGAAATAGAATAGAAATAGAATAGAAATAGAAATATAGAATAGAATAGAATAGAATAGAATAGAATAGAATAGAATAGAATAGAATAGAATAGAATAGAATAATAGAGTTGGAAGGGACCTTGGAGGTCTTCTAGTCCAACCCCCTGCTCAGGCAGGAAACTCTACACCACTTCAGACAAATGGTTATCCAATCTCTTCTTAAAAGCCTCCAGGTGCTGGAGCTTCCACAACTTCTGGAGGCAAGGTGTGTGTGTGTGTGTGTGTGTGTGTGTGTGTGTGTGTGTGTGTGTACATATACATTTACATTTACATATGCATATACATATACATACATATATATCAATATACTGTGTCTGTGTCTGTCACAGTCTGTTCCCTTTATTTTTTTGAGCAGTGTATATATCACACACATATACTTATACATACACACACTCCTACACATACATACACACAAATACATACACACACACACACATATACACACACACACATATATACACATACATACATACATAGGCAAAAGTAAAGGTTCCCCTCGCACATATGTGCCAGTCGTTCCCAACTCTAGGGGGGCAGTGCTCATCTCCGTTTCAAAGCCGAAGAGCCAGCGCTGTCCAAAGACGTCTCCGTGGTCATGTGGCCGGCATGACTCAACGCCAAAGACGCAGAGAACGCTGTTACCTTCCCACCAAAGGTGGTCCCTATTTTTCTACTTCCATTTTTTACCTGCTTTCAAACTGCTAGGTTGGCAGAAGCTGGGACAAGTCACAGGAGCTCACCCCGTTACGCGGCACTAGGGATTTGAACCGCTGAACTGCCGACCTTTCGATCGACAAGCTCAGCGTCTTAGCCACTAAGCCACCGCATCCCATACATACATACAGACAGACAGACAGACAGACACACATATGAGTGATGGGTTGCTACCAGTTTGCCCCGGATCGGGCGATCCAGTAGCGGCGGTGACGGGAGGCTCCGCGCACCCACCGGACGTCTCTGCGCAGGCGCAGAAGTGTTGCACGTGCACACAAGCGTGCGCGCGCCCATGAGTGAACCGGTATCGACGGGATTTGAATCCCACTACTGACACATATACATACACATACATACACACATATTCATCAATCACTGTCCATTTTGAATACACCGAGGGAAGAGGCAACCTGAGAGTTCAGGAGGTTGATGCTGTATGGAATAAAACCGTGACCGAATCTGGATGTTCTGCTTCGGGTACCGTTAGGAAATGATAATTACCTAACTTGTTGGGTTGGCAATATATAAACCATAAATATAGCTTTAAGACTGCTGTCCGGCTGTATTGCATCATACTGTGTCCTGATTGGTTAGCTCTCTAGCCAATGTCCTTAAGAGGGAGCTAGAAACCTGGTTTGTTTCTCTTTATTTTATTTTATTTTTATTTATTTATTTTTATATGCCGCCCTTCTCTGGAGACTCAGGGCGGCTTACAATGCGTTAAGCAATAGCCTTCATCCTTTTTGTATATTTTATACAAAGTCAGCTTATTGCCCCCACAAACCGGGTCCTCATTTTACCCTATACCTTAGAAAGGATGGAAGGCTGAGTCAACCTTGAGCCTGGTGAGAATTGAACTCGCAGTAATTGCAGGCAGCTGGATGTTAAATGCTGCCTTAGTAGGATGCTTTGCTGCATCGGCCGGTTTTGCAAAGGGCGCCTTTGAAATGCTTCACGGCCTGCAAGCGACTGGGGGATGATATCATAAGTCTCTACTGGTCTGCCCGTGTACAAATAACCCACATTTTAATGATGCCACTCGCTGCATTAACTAACATTCAGCCTTACAGTCTGAGCGATGCTGGCTACTAAGGAATGTCAGGCTGAGCTCTGAGGCCCCCTCTAGTTTGGATTAAAACCCGGAGAAGGTGGGGAACAAATTTTCACGTTTTAATGTCTCCGTTGCCCCTGGACGTTTCAAAAACTCAGCGTCTGCCTGAACTTGCTATCTGTGAATCCGTGACTTCCTCAACTATGTGCCCTTTCTGTTGTCTTACAGTCTTAAGTTTGAGAGTTGTAACTGCCAGCACTGATGTTGTTACCTAGTTGGGTAATGAAATGCCTGCAAGAAAACAACCAAGCTCAGAGAGCACCAAGAACTCCATATTCCTTCTCCTCTTGTTCAAGAAAACAACTGAGCTCATAGCATCAAGGACTCCATAGACCTCGTCCTCCTCCCTGCAAACTCCACATCCTACTAGCACTGATGAGGTTACCTAGTTTGGTAATGAAACGTCTGGAAGAAAACGCAGTGAGTACCAAAGACTCCACAATCTTCCTTGTCCTCCCCTCTTCCTCCTCCCCCTCTCCACAAACCCCACTTCTTTCTAGCACTGATGATGTTACCCAGTTGGGTAATGAAACATCTGAAAGAAAACCACCAAGCTCGGAGAGCATCAAGGACCCTCCAGTTCAACCCTCGGTGACAAATATTCTGTCAGGACTCTGTAACTCCTTCTGGGCATTTCAACTGAGAGTCCTGGGAATTGCAATTTTAACCCATATAGAGGGCACCAGACTAGCAAAGACTGAATTAGATCAATACTTCCTTTCTAGATCAAGCCATGCTCAAAAGAACGTATGACTAAGAAAGCACTATTAATAGCACGCAATTGATATGCAAAGCCAGCAAATCAATGAGCTGCGGAGGAAACAACAAGGGAATATGAATAGTTATAACAAAAAATCCTTTTGCATTAAAGCGTCGATCTCCTCACAAGGATAAGCCTAGAATAGCAATTTAAATCCAGAAATTGTGACTCACATTTAAAAATAAAATAAAATAAATAAAGCTGGTTGGGAATATAAACTCTATTATCACTAGAATGACAGAAAGTACATTTAATATTTATTTTACAGTACATGTAATATTTATTTTATTTTACGTAACAATAGATTTCAAGCCTTAAATCCAGGGGTGAAATCCAGCAGGTTCTGACAGGTTCTGGAGAACCGGTAGCGGAAATTTTGAGTAGTTTGGAGAATCGGCAAATACCACCTCTGGCTGGCCTCAGAGTAGGGTGGGAATGGAGATTTTGCAGTATCCTTCCCCTGCCATGCCCACAGAACCGGTAGTAAA